GGCCTCCCACAGTGCTGGGATTACAGGCTTGAGCCACCGTGCCCGGCCTAGGGCATGATTTTTAAGTGCATTCCCAGAGTTGTGCAACCATCATTTCTGTCTGACTCTAGAACATTTCTATCACCTCAGAGAGAAGCCCCTCCCCATTAGGAGACACTCCCCTTTTCCCCATCCCTAGCCCCTGTCAACCATGGGTCTTTCTGTCTCTGTGGATTTGCCTTTTCTGGACCTGTGTCTAAGTGGAATCATACCGTGTGTACTCCTTTGTGTCTGCCGCCTTCACAGCATCATGTCTGCAAAGCTCATCCATGCTGTAGCGTTCATTAGCACTTAAATAACCTTCCATTGTACAGATTTACCACATTTTGTTTATCCACCTATTGATAGGCATTTGGTTGTTTCTCTTGAATAATGCTGCTGTGAACATTTGTGTACAGGTTTTTATGTGGACATATGTTTTCATTTCTCTTGTGTATATACTCCCTTTAATATTTAACTGTTTCTCCTCAGAGAATCTGCTGGTCACATGGAAGCAGGTGGGGCTGGAACTGAAGCCACATTCCTCAGCTGAGTGCAACTTCTGTAGGAGGCCACTGCATTTTGAAGTGATGAGTGAAAGAGAGAAGTCCTATTTCTCAGGCTTGAGCAAGTTGGTATCTGCTCAGGCCTGAGCGTGACCTCAGTTATTCCACTTAGGCCCTATTATCATATCCAGATAGTCTTCAGAGTTGTCTTTATATGTGAATTAAATTATATTAAATTTTAATCTATAGTAAAAACATAGTCCTGAAAATAAATTAGTGGTGGCTCTTTCTGCTGTTGGCTACTGAATAAAATTTTTCATTGGCTGGACACAGTGGCTCACACCTATAATCACACTTTGGGAGGCCGAAGCAAGAGGATCACTGGAGTTCAGGAGCTTGAGGTTGCAGTGAGCCCTGATTGCTCCACTGCACTTCAGCCTGGGTGCCAGAGTAAGACTGCCTCTAAAATAAAATAAAAATAATAATTTTCATCATCGCTTTGAGTTCTGTCTGTATTCTAGGAGTGAATAAACTGAATAAAGTACTGGAGCTCTGGTAATGGCTTCAGAGCAGGAGTGGCAGAACCTCCCACTTCTTAAGCCCTACTACCTCCTAGTGCCTACAGTATCCAGTGGCTGACCCAGCTGCACCCAGCAACTGAACAGTTTTCAAAGAGTGATACCACCTTGGCGGCCGGTTTCACTTTAAACTTCTCACTTCAAATATTCAGTGGGTAGTCGGTGCTGCCCAGCAGTTCTGCAGCAGCTGCCTACTCCCGACTTTCCCTTTCAGCTACTGCCTTGACCCCGTTCTTCCATGTGAAAGTCTGGGCATCAGGAGAAGACTGGCTTGTCTGTCACCACCCTGTCCTCCAGCCTGTTGGCTTCCTGCACCTGTAGTTGTGTCCCATCCAGCAAAAGCGGAGGGGGTTGTGCTCCTCACCCTGCCTCTCTCCATTTGGATTTCAGGTCCTGTTGCTCCTTGCACAGTCCTGCAGCCATCTCTTCACTGCAGAATTTCTCCCCCTCTGCTGGTTCATTCTCCTTGGCCTGCAGAGACTTTGTCCTCCTTCTGAAAAACAAGCTCTCTTGCCGGGCGCGGTGGCTCAAGCCTGTAATCCCAGCACTTTGGGAGGCCGAGGCGGGTGGATCACGAGGTCAAGAGATCGAGACCATCCTGGTCAACATGGTGAAACCCCGTCTCTACTAAAAAAATAGAAAAAATTAGGTGGGCATGGTGGCACGTGCCTGTAATCCCAGCTACTCAGGAGGCTGAGGCAGGAGAATTGCCTGAACCCGGGAGGCGGAGGTTGCAGTGAGCCGAGATCGCGCCATTGCACTCCAGCCTGGGTAACAAGAGTGAAACTCCGTCTCAAAAAAAAAAAAAAAAGAAAAACAAGCTCTCTCTGTCTAGACCCGCGTCTTGCTGCCCCTGCCTCTCGTGCAGCCCCTGTTCTGAGCAGTCTCCCCACTCATCCTTGCATCCCTGTTCTCTAGGAAGGCTGTTCATCTCTTGTATCTGCCTCTATCTTGCCAAGTCCAGTGACCAGTTCTGTCTTCATCAGATCTCAGTGCCATTTGAAGTGGTTGTCCTTGGCCTTTTTTTTTTTTTTTTTTAATTATAAAAACAGGGTTTTATAAAGGCTGATCTCGAACTCCTGACCTCAGGTGATCTGCCCACCTCAGCCTCCCAAAGTGCTGGGATTACAGGCGTGAGCCACCGCGCCAGGCTCCTTGGCCTTTTTGAAGCTTCTCTTCAAAGCTACTGTGCCACTAACCTCTGCTGATTTTTTCCCCCCACCTCATGAGCTGGTCCTTGGTCCATTTGGGTCTTCCTGTGAATGTTGATGGCCTCACCAGGCTCGTCTCTCAACTACTCAACTCCCCCACCCCACAGAATCTCTTCCAGCCCTGCGCTTTAGGTGCATCTGTGCACTGCCATCTCTGCCTGGGTGTCAAACAGGTACCTCCAACCACCCAAGCACGGAGGGCACCCCAGGCCTGCCACCCCTCCCTGCCTGCTCTTCTTGCCTTATCATATCTGGCCAGGCACCCAGACCTCTCAAGTGGAAATCAGCCCTTTCCCTCACATGCACACTACTAGCAAATCCTGTAAATTCCACCTCTGAAGTGCATGTCAGGCCAGTCATGTCTCATCCCGTCCACTGCCACCACCCTTGTCATGCCACCGTATGGCATCTGCCCAACTCACCCCAACAGCAGCCTGAAAGATCTTTTCAAAATAAAATCAGATGGCCAGGCATGGTGGCTCATGCCTGTAATCCCAGCACTGTGGGGGCCAACGCAGGCAGATCACAAGGTCAGGAGTGCAAGACCAGTCTGGCCAATATGGTGAAACCCTGTCTCTATTAAAATGAAAATTAGCCAGGCGTGGTGTCACACACCTGTAATCCCAGCTACTCAGCAGGCTGAGGTGAGAATTGTTTGAACCCGGGAGGCAGAGGTTGCAGTGAGCTGAGATCGTGCCACTGCCCTCCAGCCTGGGCAACAGCGAGACTCTGTGTCAAAAATAAATAAATAAAATAAAATCAGATTATGTACCTACCCTGAAGAAAACGTTCCTGGGTCTTCCAGTCACACTCAGATTAAATTCTAAATTCAGGCTGGGCACGGTGGCTGATTCCTGTAGTCCTAGCACTTTGGAAGGCTGAGACAGGAGGATTGTTTGAGCCCAGGAGTCTGTGAGAGCAGCCTGGGCAACAGTGGGAAATCCCGTCTCCACAAACAATTTTAAAAATTAGCCAGGCATGGTGGCGTGCACCTGCTGTAGTCCCAGCTGCTCAGGAGGCTGAGGCGGGGGATCGCTTGAGCCCAGGCAGTTGAGGCTGCAGTGAGCTGAGACTGCACCTCTGCACTCCAGCCTGGGTGACAGAGTGAGACCCTGACTCAAAAACTGTAGGCCAGGCAAGGTGGCTCATGCCTATAATCCCAACACTTTGGGAGGGCAAAGCAGGTGGATCACTTGAGGTCAGGAGTTCGAGAACAGCCTGGCCAACATGGTGAAACCCTGTCTCTACCAAAAATATAAAAAAGTAGCCAGGCGTGGTGGCGTGCACCTGTAATCCCAGCTACTTGGGATGCTGAGGCAGGAGAATCGTTTGAACCTGGGAGGTGGAGGCTGTAGTGAGCCGAGATCACACCACTGCACTCCAGCCTGGGTGACAGAGTGAGACCCTCTCAAAACAAAACAAAAAACCCTAAATTCCTCACACAGGCTGACAAAGTTAGGATCGAGGTCCTATCCAGTTCTCCAGCCCCATCTTCCTCCTTTGTTCACTGTGGGCCTCAAATACCCATGTTCTCTGCAAATTCCAGGCCCTGGTGTGAGCCATTCTTTCTCTGCCAGAATGCTTCTCCCCTGGATCATGGTGTGGCTGCCTCTCTTCACTCAGGACAAGGGTCCCCAGGGAGACTGTCGCTGAGCACGCCAGCTAAGCAGACAGTCTTGCAGTCTCACTATTGGTTGGCCTCTGCCATGATGCCCTTCAGAGCACTGGTCACCACCCACAATGACTTTTCCCCTGCTGACCATTTGCCCTGTTGTAATGTCATCTCCCTGAGGACAGGTGCCCTGTCTTCTTACTTCCGTATCCTGAAAGTCCAACACAGTACCTGATACATAGTGGGTGCTAAACAAATGTGTACTGGATGAATGAAAAAGAAACCCAGTGGCTGGCCGGGCGCGGTGGCTCAAGCCTGTAATCCCAGCACTTTGGGAGGCCGAGGCGGGTGGATCACGAGGTCAAGAGATCGAGACCATCCTGGTCAACATGGTGAAACCCCGTCTCTACTAAAAAAAAAAAAATACAAAACATTAGCTGGGCATGGTGGCGCGTGCCTGTAATCCCAGCTACTCAGAAGGCTGAGGCAGGAGAATTGCCTGAACCCAGGAAGCGGAGGTTGCGGTGAGCCGAGATTGCGCCATTGCACTCCAGCCTGGGTAACATGAGTGAAACTCCGTCTCAAAAAAAAAAAAAAAAAAAGAAACCCAGTGGCAACAGGTCAAGTTCACTAGAAAGACTGAGAGAGCTGAAGCAAAACCAAGCAGCTGGAGGTGAGCAGAGTCCTTTAACCTTGCTCCCTTCTCATAGCTCTAGAAACAGCAGCTGTGTTTTCTCCTCTCTGGACAGAGTTGGGCTGGCATCCCTTCCCAGGAAGCTGGCAGTGGGCCTGGGCACACACCCTCAGAGCTCAGCTGAGTCACAGTCCCATCAGATAAAACCATACATCTAGGCAGGCTACAGGGCTTGATGGAAACCACATCACCTCAGAACCATGATTCGGTTTCTCCCTGCTCAGGAAACGAGCCTCACTCAGCGTTCCCAGCTCTGCTGCCTCACAGGAGCTCTCAGGGCTTTCCACTGTCCCTCACATTCCCACGCCCAGGACCCCCTTCACCTCCTTCAAATGGGATTGTTTTCCTCCAGCTGTGGTAATGTTGCTGCCCAAATGCTTAGGAAGACCCACTCTTCCTTCATAAAACCCATAACCAGCGGAAGCAAGGTCCTCAGGCGCATGTGCCCCTCCCTGCTTCTTGGGGTTGTGAGAACAAACGACTGGGTGATCTGTGGGAAGTAGGTGGGATTCGTGAACTGCTTAAAAATGGAAGTTTGGGCTGGGCGCCCTGGCTCACGCCTGTAATCCCAGCACTTTGGGAGGTCGAGGTAGGTGGATCACTTGAGGTCAGGAGATCGAGACCAGCCTGGCCAATATGATGAAACCCCTGTCTACTAAAAATACAATAAATTAGCCAGGCATGGTGGTGCACACTTGTAATCCCAGCTACTTGGGAGGCCGAGGCAGGAGAATCGCTTGAACCCAGGAGGCGGAGGTTGCAGTGAGCCAAGATTGCACTTCTGCACTCCAGCCTGGGCAACAGAGCAAGACTCTGTCTAAAAAAAAAAAAAAAGAAAAGAAAGTTTGGCTTTTATAAGCAACTCTAGTGTGAAATGAAAGTTCTCTAAGGGTATTTAGAAGCCAAGGGCATTAAATAAGTTGTCCTAGAGGGAAAAGGGCAAACTGCATTTGAAATCTTAGTGAACAGACATTCTTCTCCTTGAAGTTTTCCTCCTATCAGGTTGCCTGAGTCTTTGGCCCACTCCTCTACTTCCTTGTGTTGGGGAGCACTCACTGCAGTGGTGCGATCTTGGCTCACCAAAACCTCTGCTTCCCAGGTTCAAGCTATTCTCCTGCCTCAGCCTCCCAAGTAGCTGGGATTACAAGTGTGCACCACCACGAGCACTTTCTGCTCCCAAACACGAGGGGGCGACACCAGGTCAATGGACTTGCTCCCAGAGAGAGGTGCTGCCCCAGCTTCATGTGCCTCTGATACAACCGCATCTAAACCCTGTCAGTGCCCTGGGAGGGGTTCCTGGCCCAGGAGGATCATATTCTGGGTGGAGAGAGAAACACGGAAGCCACATCAGTTAAAGATCCTACACGTAAATCCCATCACATAATAACTGAGGTCCGGCTCGGTGTTTCAGACCTCTACCCATATTATATGAATCCTCCAACATTCTGCAGTAGCATGGCTCATTCCCTTTTATAGAACGAGCAAGCTGAAGTTCCGGAAGGGGAGGTCACCTGCCCAAGACAACCCAAATAGCAGAACTGGCAGGCAGGCCCAAGCAATCTGGTCTGAGTCCTGTCTCTTTCCTAGCCTATTGATGGGCGAGGATGGCCGCTGTGTGGAGGAGAGGGCCTGGAGCCACCCCTAGCATCCTTCCTGACTACAGTGCAGTGGGAGCTGCCTCCCACCCAGCCCCACCCTGGCACCGCTCCAACCACTTCCTGCAAGACATGAGATAGTGGTGCTCAGCCTCTCTGATCCCATAGACCGCACAGAGCCAAGTGCCACAGACCCCCAGACTCACTCGAGCCGTACCCAACAGCCCTCCACCACGGCCCCTGTGCTTCCTCTCCAAATACTCTCCTGCTTCTCCAGCCCCAAAAGCATCAGGACCGCGAGCATGGGTGGGGGGTGGGGAGATGGAAGGTCCACTGGGAACTGCCAGGGGGCAGGCCTGGAAATCCCAAGAGAGGCAGGTTTACCTCCCACAAGCAAAATATGGTTCCCTGAACAGGACTCAGTTTCCAGCTTCCTGTTCCTGCCCCTGATTGCGGCCAGAATAGTCTCAGAGCCACTCAGAAGGGGACTCCCCTAGACTCCAGCCTTGTGGAAAGGACTATTATGTTCTTTTCTCTGCAGGTAGCCAAGAAAGAACAGGTTGGGTCAGAGCACACATGGGGCACAGGGCTTCCAATTGGTAGGTCAGAGACCCTCCTTCTTCAAGATGAGCAGGTATCAGGGAACTCCAGGCCACCACAGGAGCCCCTGTACCCAAGTCAGAAAGAGGATGCAGCCTAGACTTCCCTCACAGCTATGTCCTGGGGAGTGAGGCAAAAGCAATCCCCCAAGGGCTGCCCTTGATCAGCCGATCAAGATAGCTGTCTGCTGCCAGCTCCTGCCCTCCCCTCCAGAAGCCCTGAGTGGCCGAGCGGATCTCAAGCTGGCCTGGGCTGGCCAAACTGGGTCCCAGCCCAGAAAATGCAGGCTCCGACCTGTCAGCCTGCATATTTCTCCCCTGTTCCTCAAAGGGCAGGTTTGGCTGTGGTGACGGTCTACTTTGTCAGTTGCCAGCCTGGGAGAGGGCCCCTCACGGGGTTCCAGGCCTGATGCGCCTCATAGCTCCACAGAGTGTGGAGGAGATCCACCTGCGGACAGACCCTGATCTCTCCACACACTGGTCATCAGGGCTCCCAGCTCTATCCTGAAATCTACATTATCAAATATAGAGGCCAGGCATGGTGGCTCACACCTGTAATCCCAGCACTTTGGGAGGCCGAGGCAGGAGGATTTCTTGAGCCCAGGTTTAAGATCAGCCTGGGCAACATGGTGAAATCCCGTCTCTACTAAAAATATAAAAATTAGCTGAGCGTGGTGACACATCCTGTAGACCCAGCTACGTGGGAGGCTGAGGTGAAGCACTTGAGCCTGGAAGGTTGAGGCTGCAGTGAGCTGTGATCCCACCATTACATTGCACTCCAGCGTGGGTGACAGAGCAAGACCCTGGAAAAAAAAAAAAAGAGGCCAGCCTTGCTGGCTCACACCTATAATCCCAGCATTTTGTGGGGCTGAGGAGGGAGGATCACTTGATTCCAGGAGTTTGAGACCAGCCTGGGCCACATAGTGAGACCCTGTTTCTACAGAATAAAAATAAAGAGTTAGCTGTGTATGGTGGTGCACCCCTGTGGTCCTAGCTACTCAGGAGGCTGAGGTGGGAAGGTTGCTTGACCCCAGGAGGTCAAGGCTGCAGTGTTCATGCCACTGTGCTTCAGCCTGGGTGACAGAGTCAGACCTTGTCTCAGAAAGAAAAAAGAGAAAGACAAAGAAAGAAGAAAGACAAAGAAAGAAGAAAAGAAAGAAAGAAAGAAGAAAAGAAAAGAAAGAAAGAAAAAAGGGAGGGAGGGAGTGAAGGAGGGAAGGAAGGAAGCAAGTGGCTTGCCTAGGTGTCTCTTTAATATCAGAACAGAGAGACTCAGCATGCACCTGCAAAGAGAAAGGAGTGGGTTCCCCTAGTCTTCTTTGGCTACCAGCTCCCTGCTGCGGGGATGCACCCACAGGCCTTCCTCGCCCCCGCCGGAACCAGCCTTCCCCGCTTGGCACAGGCATGGCCACTAGAGGGCATCATCACCCCTCCCCTCACTGCAATTCATTCTCCCCTTCTGCTTTGAAATGAATAGTCCCCAGAGCTGCTACCGCTCAAGACTTTGCTGAGGACCAGATGTGAACTAAGCCTGCAGCTTCTCTGCCTTCAAGGTATTCCAGACCAGTGGGTGAGGGAGACAGACACCTGAGACCCATACACAACAAAGGGGTGCTGGGCCAAGTCCGGCAGGGGCTGCCCCGCTCTGCATGGGAAAGGTAGGGCAGGACACTCTGGGAGGGGCTAAAGGGGCCCTGCTCTCTGGGGGGGCTGCATCCAAGACTACATCCAGTGACCATCATCAGACTCCCCAGAGAACTGAGCTTAATAGCTTCCACCCCTGCAGACCTCTGTCCTGTCTTTATGGCAATTTTCCCTAAGCTGCTTTGTGGAAGCCTGGAGAATTCTCCCTCCCCTCCTCCCACCCATGCTTCCAGTAAGCTCAGGGTTAGCCATGTGGCCTTCAGCAGCATTTATTGAGTGCCTGCTCTGTGCCAGGTGTGGGTGAGGGAGGCAAGCAGAGGAGAAGTGAGGCAGACCGAGGTGCGGTGAGCACGGAGACGGTGCCGTGAGGGACTCTGGCTCAGGGTTATTCGGTCGTGGGTCCCTGGCAGAAGTTCCGGTTATAGAAGTGGTGGTTGTCCCTGGTCAGGGCTATGCCTAGCTGAGCCCAAAAGCTGCGCTGACCGCTGGGCTGGTGGGGCCACAGGAGGACACTCTGGCGGCAGAGGCGCTGGCGCAGCCGCACGTAGCGGGAGCGGCGGCCTTCGGGGCTCAGGATCACCAGTACCACGACGTCCTTGCGGTCCTCCAGCAGGCGCTGCTGGGCCAACAAGAAGCTGGCGCGCAAGAGGCCACTGACCCGGTCCGTGTGGGCCAGCACAAATAGCATCTTTCGGCTGCCATAGACCGAGGCCCACAGGTTCTCAAAGAGGGTCTTGCCAGGTAGCCAGTCACGCTCCTCCAGGCACAGGCGGAGTGCCCAGCGCCCACGGCGCTCCTCCAGCTGCCTCCGAAGCTCATTGTACACCCAGTCTGCCACGGCGCTCTGCGCCTTGTCGAAGACCACGAAGGCATCATAGGGCAGGGCATCCTCACCTCGTCCACCTCGCCGCCCCCACCGGGGAAGCCAGGCCAGGCCCAGGTAGAAGCAGTACCAGAGGTCCCAGCCACAGAGTTGATGCAGCAGGGGCACCCCCAGGCCCAGAGCCACAGCCAGCAGCGAGAAGCTGAAGCAGTCCCGGGAGAGGGCCTCATCCAGGCAGAGGCGCAGGTCCTGTGCGAAGATGCTTTGGCCCTGGAGCTGGGTGGGACTGCCACACCTCACCCGGCTGGGCAGGCCAGGCACCGCAGCCTGCACCTCCAGCAAGAAGTCCACAAAGGCCGCCCCACAGGCGCAGTGCAGAGGGTTGGTGCTCACATCTAGTATTTTCAGGGCACCCACCAGGGGCCCAAACCAGGAGGGGTCCACTGTCTTGAGGGCGTTGGCACTGAGGTTGAGCTCTCGAAGCTTCTTGGCCTTGGAAAAGAAGCCCGGGGCCACGAAACTGATGCTGTTGCCGCTGACGTCCAGCTTCCGGAGCTGGGTCACGGCAGGCAGGCTGCCGTTGGTCAGGGCCTTCAGCTGGTTTCCTGCCAGGTCGAGGGCTTCCAATTTGCGCAGGAGGGCGAGGCTCCTCCACTTAAAGAAGGCCAGCTTATTGTCACGGAGACGCAGCACCTGCAGGGTCTTGGGGAGGTTGCCCAGGGTACGGGGCAGGAGGGTGTGCAGGCTATTCTGGGACAAGTCCAGCCAGATCAAGCCGCTCAGGCCTTGGAAGAAGTGCAGATAGAGGTCTCCCTCGGCCCACATCCGGCCCAGCGCATTGCCGCTGAAGTCCAGGGCCCGCAGCGAGGTGCTGCAGAGCTGCGGGGACACTCGGCTGTGGATGTTGTTGTGGGCCAGGCTGAGGTACCGCAGAGTGCGCAGGTGGGCCACGAAGCTGAAGTTGTGACCCACACCCTGCATGCCAAAGGGCTGGCTGTTGTAGCTGAGGTCCAGGGCCTCCAGTCGCGGTAGCTCCGTGAATGAGTGCTCGTGGTACAGGTCCAGCTTATTGTGCGACAAGTCCAGCACGCGCAGATCAGTCAGTGGCAGGAACTGCGAGCCATTGACCGCCTGCGTGATGCAGTTGTGGCTCAGGCGCAGGCACTGCAGGTGCGAGAGCCGGGCAAACATCTCCGGTCGCACGGTCGCCAGGTTGTTCCGCGACAGGTCCAAGGTGAAGTTGAGGGTGTTGCAGTTGGCCATGAAGTCTTCAGAGCTGGGAGTGTCCACTGGGGCTAAAGCAAGGTCCCCGGGCTGCAACCAGACCTTCTCCCCACCGTCCGCCTCCCCTGTGGTGGCCACCAGCTCTGAAGCTCCACCGATGCGGTTGTCCGACAGGTCCACATGGCGCAGGCCGGGGAAGGCCCCGAAGATACCGAGCTCGGCTTGGTTGATGAAGTTCATCTGCAGATGCAGAGTCTGGAGCCTGGACAGGCGGGCCAGCGGCCGGAGCGTGGTCTCATCGAGCGAGCGGAAGAAGATGCCGTGCATGTCCAGCTCCTCCAGTGAGAACAGGCTCCCGAAGGATGGGGCCAGAGACAGGTGGGCAAAGGACACCCTCTTTTGATAATTGAAGGACAGGTTGAGCTTGCGCAGCTGTGTCAGGCCCTGGAAGGCCTTGGTTTTGGTGATGCATTCGTAGAGGAAGTTCTCACTCAGGTCCAGCACTCGGAGGTTTCCCAGCCCATGGAACCAACTGGCATTCAGCCAGGAGAGAGAACTGTCCTTCAACACCAGGCCTTCAAGACGGCTCAGGTGGCTGAAGGTATCGGGGTGTAGCTGGGGGAAGTGACGAGGGCACTCCATGCAGGGGTTGGGAGCGTGGTCGCAGCGCCGGCAATTTCCGCCCACATCGAGCACACGCAGGGCGGTCAGATTGGCCAGGTCCCCAGGCGCCAGTTTAATAATGTGGTTGTAGGACAGCAGCAGATACTCCAGGCTGGAAGGCAGGTTGCGGGGCACCATGGTGAGGTTGTTGTACTTGAGCGACAGGTGGGTGAGGTTGCCCAGGCCAAGGAGAGCATCCGGGGCCACTTCCAGTGCCCGCCTGCAGGGGTTCTTGTAGTAACAATTGCCATCCATGAATAGGAAGTGCAGGGCATGAAGGCCAGCCAGGCTGGCAGAGTCTAGCACCAGGATGTTGGTGTGGCTGAGGGTCAGGGACACGAGGGATTTGGGCAGTGCAGGCACAGCCGTGATGCTATTGTAGCTCAGGTTTAGCTCCTCTAGGGTGGGCACAGCCAAGAAGGTGTTGGGCTCAATGGTCATGTGGCAGGGGAAGTGCATGGGGCTGAGGCCGACCGGCGGGCAGTTCCACTTGAGGTCAAGACGCCGCAGGCTGGGCAGATGGGCAAAGTCAGAATCATGGAGGTGGTGGATGCGGTTGGAGGACAAGGAAAGGCTGGTGACATTGCCCCGGGGTGCTGCCACGGAGAAGTGGGGCACCGACTTCAGGAACAGCCAGTTGCAGTTCACCAGGCCATGGGGCTGGAGCTCACAGGGTAGGAAGGCAGGCAAGGTACCCAGGGCCAGGGTCATGACCAGCACCATGGCCTGCACCAGGAGAGACAGCGGGTGCACGGCGCTGCGGCAGAATCCCTGTGGGGGTGGGAGGGCTGTGTGAGTGGCTGGCCCCCAGCCCCACCTCCACCCACTTCACTTCATGGGTATCTTCCAGCATCTTCCAGCCCCTCTCTCCAAGCCCTCCCTCCAGAAGTTCTTTCCTGTTTGCCAAGCCCCCTTCCCATCCTCCATGGCTTGTGGGGAACCTGAACTCAGTCTCAGATCCAGCCATGGACTCAGAATTAGGCCTCAGATCCAGGACTGAGACCTGGAATCCAGACTCATGGTCTGGAGCTTTCACTGTAACCAATCCCTGGCTGTCCAGCAGGGTCAGGCAAGGTGGCCCACAGCCCTCGTGGACTCTCCCGACTTTCTCTTCCTGCTCTTGAGTAAGGTGGCAGCTGGCTCCCTCCCCTCCAGCTGCCGTGAAATCCGCTCTCTGCCCTCCACCAGCCTCCCCCCAACCCTTTCCTTTCCCTTCGACCAAAACCCAGGCATGCATGAATCTCCCACAATGGTCCAGGATTCCAGGGTCCCTGACCAGGGTGGGCACTGCACAGCTCCATTACTCTCTACCTGCCTTTCCCAGCCCGAGAGCCCTTGCCCTGTGAGTCAGAACAGATGGAGGGAGGGGTGGCCAGCAAAGCACCAGGCAGAGCCCAGCCCCAAGCTGCAGGCCCGGTGAGACACAAGCCCAGGCTCCAGCCGGAGCTCCGTCACTGCCTCAGCCTCCTTGTGCCCTCTGCGGGTTTGGGTCTCTGCTCAGAAGAGGGCTTTGGTGGCCGGGCACAGTAATTCTGTGCCCGGATTCAAGCTTGTAATCCCAGAACTTTGGGAGGCCGAGGTAGGCAGATCACCTGAGGTCAGGAGTTTGAGATTAGCCTGACAACAGAGTGAAAATCCGTCTCTATTAAAAAATACAAAAAATTAGCCAGGCATGATGGTGGGTGCCTATAATCCCAGCTACTCGAGAGGCCGAGGCAGAAGAATCACTTGAATCCCAGAGGTGGAGATTGCAGTGAGCCGAGATCGTGCCATTGCACTCCAGCCCAGGCAACAGTGTGAGACTCCGTCTCAAAAAAAAAAAAAAAAAATACAAAATTAGCCGGACATGGTGGCACATGCCTGTAATCCCAGCTACTCAGAAGGCTGAGGCAGGAGAATCACATGAACTCAGGAGGCAGAGGTTGAGGTGAGCTGAGATTGCGCCATTGCACTCCAGCCTGGGCAACAAGAGCAAAATTCTGTCCCAAAAAAAGAGAAAAGAAGAAGAGGGCTTCAGCTCTGCTGTGTTTGGGGTTCAGTAAGTGTCCCCAGGGCCATGTGGGTGACAACCCCTGTTACTGTTGCTTGCAGCTGCCAAGCCCACCTCTCTCCCCACACCTCCCCAGCATGTCCCTTCTCCAGGGGACTAAGAGCTGTTGTCCTACCATGCTGGGGAGCAGGGTCTTCTCCAGAGGGTGGCGGGCAGACTGGACAGCAGCTGCAGGGAAGGATGCTTCACGTTCAAGGTCCCTTCCCACAGGGGCAGCAGTGGCTCAGAGAATAGAGGAAGTGAGACTTTTACCCCAGCCAAGTAGCTCCCCCTCCACTCCACCCTCCCCACAGTGAGGACAGTGTCCCATGAGTCAAAGGCCATTTGCATAGTCAAATGGCAGACAGCCCCTTCACCCCTTCCTCTTTCCACTCCCCCCTCAGACAGCCTACATCCCATGAGGGCTGCACACCTGTCTTCCACCAAGCCCAGGGTGAAGCTAAGGCCCGAGCCCAGGCAGAAAGCAAGGAGAGATGGGAGTTCGGGTAGCAGCAGTAGCGGGTACACCTGTGCTGGGCCCTCCCCATTCTCAGAGGACTCTTTCACCCTCAGGCCTTGGCTCCTGCACCACAGCTGGTGCCCTCAGGACAGTGGCTCCCGACTTGTCCTTTCCTGCCCTCGTGGGCACCATTTTGAGTTCTGCAGAGCCTCGTGCTCAGAGGGCTGGGGTGTAGCTTAAGCAGGAGGCTGGGGTGCACCTGCCTTCACCACAGCCTTGCAACCTCTTCCGGAAACAAGACCTCCTCCTCTGCATTCCCAGAGCCCCTGCGGTCCCATCAGAGCACACACCACGTCACTCCAGACGGGGCTCCTAGAGGCCAGGTGTGCACTGGCCCAGCGGGGCTCCCAGCTGGTCCTCCCCAGCAGTGCTTCTCACAGTCCTTCTGACCTAGGTGACAGAACTCAGATTCCTTGGACCCAAAGCCTTGGGTGACCCCAGGCCCCTCAGCAAGTCCTGCTGGCTCCACCATGCTGAAGGATGTGCCCACAGCCCGCCACCCCCCATGTCGACCAGACCCCATCCTCTCTCCCAGACCACGCGGGTGCCACTGCCTTTCTGGCTGTCCTGCCCTACTCTCCACCCACAGCTGGTCATATTCAACCCCTGGAGGGACCTGTTCAAACATAAGTCACACTGGGTCCCTCCTCTGCTCAGACCCCTCCCTGGCTGCCTCAGGAGTCAAGGCCACAGTCCACGGATGGCCAACAAGGCCCTGTGGGACCTGCCTCTGCTGGCACACCTGCCTCTTAGGCACACTAGCCTGCTTGCAGTTCACTGAGTAGCCCCCGGCACTCTCCTGCCTGGGGGCCTTGGGATGTGCTGCTCCCTCTGCCTGGAAGCTCTCCCGAGGCTCACACGGCCCCTCCTTCACCTCCACTGTGTCTCTGCTTCCATGTCACCCTCTCAACAGGACCACGCAGTCTTCTTACAAACCTCCCACTCCAGGTCTAGCAGCCTGAGCTCTTTTGCCCGCTGTGTTTCTCTTGACCTAACATTTTCTGTTAGCACACCGGATCATTGATCTTTCATAGTTCATTGTATATTGCCTTATTCCCCTGCTGGAATGTCAGCCTCTTGAGGGAAGTGATCTTTTGTCTGCATCCCCAGGACCCAGTATAGTGCCCAACACATAGTAGGTGCTTGATATCTGCTGAATTATGAGTACCCAGCAATCAGCTCTGGGCAGGCAGAGAGGGTGTTTCTGAGTGAAGGCTGAATGAATGAACAAATGGGGTTGCTGCTGGGAGGAGGCAGGCTGTACACCTGCCAGCCCGCTCCCCCCAGGCCCACTCTGGCTGGGTGTCATGACAGGCAGTCTCCAAGGCAGGGGTGATGGCATCGTCTTCCTGCCCACCTGGGAGCCAGTGTTTAGGCTGGGCAAGGACAGCCCTCTTCTGGGTCCTAGCTAGGGTTTGGGCTATCCTCTCTACAATTCTAGGGGCTTGAGCAAGGGCTCAGAAAGGTGCCAGGGATAGAACGCTGCCCTGAGCCAGGAGGGAGGGCAGTGCCCACTCAGCAGCTGGGCTGCAGGCATCACCCCACGTGTCCGCCCCTGCCTGCCTGGGGTGGGAGGCGCCTGCATTCATTCCATCCATCCACCTTTCTGACTGTCCTGCCCTGCAGGCACACACCAAAGTTTTGGCTCCTGTGGAACCCCAAGCCCAAGACTCTCCCAGAGTCCCTCGGACCAGGGATCCAGATTCCCATACCCAGCAGTGGTCCTGCCTCCCTTGGAGGCAGAAAACCAGAGAGGCCAGTAGGCTGACAGCGGGGTCTGCACACACATGTACAGACCCATGCACATGGACACACTCAGCCTGGAGACACCGATACCAATGTCCACAGAAACAGCTGTCCTGGCCTCAGCCCAGGGAGGCTGGGACCTTCAGGGAGGGGCCCTTATCCCATGCAGGAGGCTGCATAAAGCCCCTCTCAGAGATCCTTGCCCTAATTCCCCAAACCTGCCAACACATGACCCTAACACCCCACATGGAGTGTGGCCAAAAGGACCTCAAAGATGTGATTAAGTTACCCACCTTGAGGTGGGAAGGTAGTGGCGGTAGGGAGGGTGAATGCAATCACAAAGTCCCTCATGAAATGGAGATGGAGGGAGATTCAACTCCAAAAGGCCATGGGAGCCTGGAGGCCGAGGGAAGCAGAATCAGAGATGTCACCTCTGGCTTTGAAGGTGGACGAAGCGGCCCCAAGCCAAGGAAGCCAGACAGCTTCTGAAAGCCAGAAAAGGCCAGGAGACAGGTTCTCCCACAGGGCCCAGACAGAGCCTGCCCTGCCAACACCTCCACTTTGGAAGTGAGACCCATCTCAGTCTTCCAGCTTCCAGAACTATAAGAGGATACACTTGGGTTTCTTCTAAGCCACTAAGTTGGTGGAAATTTGTTACAGCAGCCACAGCAAATGAACATACCCAGGTCCCCCATGTCACGATGGAGGCGCGCCTGCCTCTCAGGCAGGCTCCTGCTGACCGGGAGACTGGAGCAAGGCTGCGCCCCTCCCCCTACAGACACAGCCTCTCCCATACAGCTGGAGGCAGAGTGCCAGGGCTCCACCTTGAAGGCCGGCAGTCCCCTCTCTCCTGTTGGGAGAGGACAGTTATATGCACAGGGCTGCCCAACTCCCAGGGCCAGAGGCGGTTTCAGGGCCAAAAGCAAGTCTTGATTTAAAAATATTTTATTCTTTAGAAAATACAGCATTCAACCATACCAAACTGCAGTGACCCCTGCCCAGCCCTAACTGACCCCACCTCTTGTGGCCAAAGGCTTCTGGGCTGTGCTGGGACCCTAGTCTCAGCTCCCCGGGAGGCCGGGTTCATGACAGGCCCCTGATCCAGCCCCCTTGAGCCAGCCAGGCAGAGTTCCCGGACACCCTGGGCACACAGATGAGACGCAGGGACAGCAACAGGGAAGGGTCACAAAACACCAGCCCAGTGGCCCTCGGACACTGCAAGGGTGTTCAGCTGCCAGTCCTCCTGCCCTCCTGGAAGCACTTTCCTGGGGCCCAGGAAGGAGGATGGTGGCAGGGAGCAGAAGGCAGGCAACCCCACAGTCCACACGCGGTGGCCGGCCCAGCTCCAGCCCCCTAGCTGTCATCCCCGTTCTCCCCAGGGCCGCGGATGAGGCGCTTGTGGCCCCGTTTGCCCCCTGGGCCCTTGGGCTTGGCAAAGGCCTGCTTGAAGGCATGTTGCTTGGGGTGCACCTCGTCGTAGAGGAACTCTGCCGTCAGCTCTGCCCCATCGCCAATCTCAATCTGCATGGGGCAAGGCAGTGGTCACCTCGACGGTAGGGGCTCTGACACATACCACCCCGGTAGCCCCCACTCCTGGGGCACCCCCTGATCTCACATCCTAGCCCTGGGGTCTCCTGAGGTCTCCCCTTGAAACCCCACCTGGAATGCCACCCTCAGGAACACAACAGCTTAGGGCCTGCTGCCCTGCATGCCTCGGACTCTGTTCGCTGGGGTCACCTCCTCCCTGTCTCCAGGTCCAGGGAAAGGACATGACATAGTGGCCAGGACTTGGACGTTTCTGAGCCAGCAATCAGCTGGGCAGTCTTGGGAAATGCATGTCACTCCTTGGGGCTCAGGTTCCCTGTGATCAACATGGCATCAATGATTCCTGCTCTGCCATCATCTCAGGACCCCAGTGCCTGGTATGGAGATTGGGGTGACAGGGCCCAGGGAGACGAGGCCCTGGGGAGGACACCTACTTTCTTGGCGATCTCCAGATGGAAGTCCTGCTCCACGGAGTCGAGGAGGCGGCTCTTGCAGCTGGAGTAGAGCATGCGCTCCTTGATGCTGCACTTGTACCCCGGCATGGAGTAGATGAACACTGCAAAGGACAGGAGGTGAGCCTGGGAGGCCTGGGAAACCTGTTGACCTTCACACCCAGGGCAGGCCCGCCCCACCACAGACCAGCCCTGCCCTGCCCACCCAGCCACAGGCTTGGCAGCCCTGCCATGGCCACTCACCCACAGACTCGAGGGGGTCACCCTCATGGGTGTGCTTGTAGAGGAAGAAGTGGTAGCGGGCAGCATCTCGGGGCACCCGGGAGGGCAGCTGGGCCACATCCGTGGGCTCTGTGTGCACCAGCCCAATGGTCTCCCGCTCCAGGTCCAGCTTCTGCCGGGGCCAAGGGGAGATGGAAGAGCACCAGGTTGGGGCGGGCCCAGGCCCCTCTCCCTAAGAAGCCTCAAATAGGGTTAGCTGGTGGGCAGGACCCTGACGTGACCTCCCTCTCCCAAGACTCCCCTGCAATGGCCATCCCTCTATGGGGATCCCCTCTGAAGAGGACAGTCCTGGGTCCAGCCCCAACTCTGCCCCTTTGAAGGCTGTGCTGAGAAGGAACTCCCACCAAGGGTAGAAATGGCATGGGACAAGACGGTGTGGAGGGTCTCAACCTCCGGGAGACACTGCCACTGGGCCAGCCCGTCCTTGAGGCCAGGCCTCTGGGAGAAGCTCCTAGGAAAGGAGGAGCCATTTTGCTTTAAAGGGGCAGCCAGAATGGCCATCACAGAAGGACCCTGCCTAGGGAAACAGGCTGCTCAAGGAGACTGCAGAGGGAATCTGGGACAGGAAGGGGCTTGGGGCTGAGGGGTCAGTGTGGAAGGCAGAATGGGGCAGTGTGCTCACAAGTATACCTGTGTATGGGCAGGGCCTGGGGGACAAGGGACCAGAGCACATCTATGTGCACACAGTGGCTACAGCCGGGATGGAATAGGTAGGGATCAGGGAGGGGTGAGGTGGACTGTGTGTTCCCTCAAGCACATGGACAAGCTGAAGGGGACGGGGGCAGGCTGGTGGGGCAGGGATTCCGTGCACATCTGCGCATGTGCATGAGCAGGAGTAGAGGTGGCAGCAGTGTGTGCCAGGGTAGGGAGCAGGAACCCACCAGCTGGATGTAGTTGACCGTCTTCTGCTTGAGCTGCTGGAGTGCCCGCTGGGCCTGGGGCTGCAGGGGGAAGGCGAGGCCCTGCAGGGTCTGGTGCTTGCTTTCCACGCTGATCTCCGTCTTCACCTGCGAGCAAGGGAATGGTGAGGGAGCCCCTCACCAGCTCAAAGCACGTTGTGGCTCCCAGGCAGCACAGGCTGCCAGTGGGCCTGATGTGACCCTGAGGGCTCAAGGCTGGGACCTCTGCTCCCCACCCACCTCGTTGATGCGGATCTGCTGAAGCTCTCTCTCGGCCGAGGTCAGCGGGGCAGGTGCTGCACAGGATGACAGGTGTTTCTGGTACCCAGCAAAAGAGAGGTCGTCCTGGGGGGTATGGGGGTGACTGCTGAGCCATAAATGGGTACCTGCAGGGGGTGGCTACAGGAAGCCCACCAAGCACACCAGCTTGCAGTTCTTGGAAAAGCGCCCCCATCTTCCTCCTAAGGCTGGCACTGGCTTGCTCTCTGACCCTGCACAATGACCCGTCTCCATGGGCCCGGGACTATGTCCCAGTAAGTCCTGACTTAGAGTTACCTTCACGGTCCCAAAGAGCTCATCCTTGATGTGGCCACCTCCAAACTCCTTTTTCACTGTGGCCCGTGTGGCCGCGTACAGCATCTTCAGCCGCACCTGAAGGGCAAGGGCCAACTGTGAGAGGCCTCTGGGCAGGGCTGTCTCTCCGAGAACAGGCAGGCACCTCTGGAGGGAGCTGGTAGGCTCATTGCACCCACATACCCAGCAGAGAGCCAGACCAGGGCTAGGGTGCAGCAGGAGGCTCCCACCAGCAGGGGGAGCCCTTGCCCAGGCCAACCACAGCCTCCAGGAGCCAGCCAGGCCGATGCCCCAAGGGCGTGAGGTACCCAGGCTGCGGTCACAGGGCCTTGTCCCTCTCTCAGACTCCCTGGGGTAGGGCCTGATGACTCCTCACCCGCCCTCCAGGGGCAGGCCTGTGTCCTCTCCCAGATCCCCCAGAGCAAGGCCCTGCTGTCCGGCTCAGCCCCAGCTCCCCTCCTCACTGCCCGCTGGCCCAGGACTCACGGGGGAGTTATCAGGTGACCACGCGAGGAAGAGCCATTCAAAGCCCTGAGCATTCTGGGAGTCGAGGCGGTAGAGCAGGTAGCAGGGCTGCTGGGCGTCCAGCAGTGGCAGCACAGCCCTGTCATAGTCCTGGTCCCAGTGGCCCACCGGCTCCTGCGAGGCACCCAGCACGAGCTGCTCTGGGGGCAGAGGCTGGGTGAGCAGCCAGCTCCCAGCTCCCACCAAGCCTCCCGCTGCGGACCTCCAGCCCAACTGGCTCAGAGTCACCAGCCACCCTTCACCTTCCCTGGAGCCCCCAGGTTCCAGAAATGGGAGGGTGTGTGGCTGAATGAGTGAGCAAGGGAGAGCACAAAGCTGCCAGATGGGGGCTGCCCCCCTGCACATCCCCATGGCATGTACACCTGCACACACACCCGCACACAAATCAGCAACACAAACAGCCACACAAAGACACGCAGCCATCAGCCCCTCATGGACTCCCTTGAACCCCACCCCCACTGCACAGCTGCTCAGCCCAGTCCCCATGAAACCAATTCCTGCTCCCCTCTCCCCTGGGGCTCCAGCAGAACTGCAGCAGACCCCCCTCAGGACAAATATGCTGAGGGGCAGGTCACAGCCCCAGGCCACAGGGACCTGCAGGGACAAAAGCCACTGGGAAGGAGGAGCAGGGGCTCCTACCAGACCCTGCACAAACGGACATCCTGTGGCCACCTGCCAGCTGCAGTCCCCTCGAAAACATCACAGATCCAAAGCAGCCACCATCAAAGTGCCTAAGCCTGACAGGACAGGCCTGCCAGCTCCTTGGCTGAATGGAGCATCCAGCTGCATTTGCGGGCTGGGATCTCACCTGGGTACCAGATACCAGCCTGGGTGTCCACAGGTCCAGGCTGGAGCAAGAGCTGAGGCAAAGGGGCGATCAGCTGGCTGGGGGTCCTGGCACTAGCCCACCAGGCCCTCCTGATGGGGGCAGGGGCCCCAGTGCTGAGACACCCCAACAGGCCAGGCCCTCTATGGGATCACAGTCACGGTGACTTTGAGTAGTCATGGCCTGCATGATCTGTGTCGGTGCCCACAGCACTGGCAACATTTGTTGCTTAATTTGTTGCTAAATTTGTTGCTAACATTTTCTTTTTTTGTTGTTCTTTTTTTTTTTTTGCTAACATTTTCAAACTGGGAAATTTTACATAAGAAGTAGAATTCTCAGCTTCTCTAGAAAAACCAGGCCCTCTGGCCACATTGAGGCCACCTCAGTTGGAGACAGACAGTGGCTGCCCACTGAAGGCCTGGACCCTCCTGGGCACTCCTAGGTATCCCAACCACTGTCATACAGAACTGAGATAAAAGTCAAGCCAGAGATTCCTCCTGCTTCAAATCTGCAGGGACATCTTGTCTGGGAGGTGACAGGGAGGGCTGAAGACTGGGGTCAATGAGCGCAACTGCCTCTTTAAGGGTGGGGTGGCTGTGGTCTGCCCACATGATGAGGTGGCCGTCACTCACATCCTTCTACAGTGACCCCTGCCCAGTCTCTGAGGGCAGCCTTTTGAGACCCTGGGCAAAGCACAGCTGAGGCCCTAAAACTTGGAATGGCAGACCCTGCTTTGAGCCAGCTCAGTGTACGAAAAGTCAGCTGAGCACCAGGCCCATTTGGGCAGCCATCCAAAGCGCTCACTGGTGAATGGCTCTGAGAAGAGCTGGGAGGACTTCTGGGGGGCCTGACCCACCCCAGTCCCAAAGTCTGTACCCCTCACCCAAAGGAACAGTCCCTTGGCATGGAGGAAAGGGGAAAAAGTCCTCTGTCCTCTACCTCTGACCTCCTAATCCGCCTCAGTTTAATCCTCTGCCTCCCCAAACCCTCCCCACTTCAGGCCTCAGCTCAAGTCCCAGCACCCTCAACACTGGCCCCTATACAACTCTCAGGTCCTCAGGGGCCAGGCCAAGGCCCAGCCAAGCCTAGAACCCTCCCATCCTGCTCTCAGATGAACCAGATACTCGTCCCTTCACCCCATCATGGGGGCACTTCTGAGAGAAGGGTGCAGGATCTTCTTAGATCTCCCCACAACCAGCAGCTGAGCCAAGCCAGGCCAC